CCACGCGTGGACCCGAGCCCAGCGCCGCGACCAGGCGGCCAGGGACGCCGAGAGGGGTCAGGTTCTCGCAGCCACCGAATCGGCCACTCACCAAACCGCCGTCTCTCCACACGTTGGAAATGAAATGTCTCTCTGGACAAACATATACAGCTTAGGCTATTATATTCGTAAAATTAGCCATTTCCTACCCTCACCCCGCAAAACATGTGTTGCCTAAACATGCACTTATGAAATCATAGTAAAAAAATGTCATATTATGATTCTCACATACACTCACGCTTACACACACGCCTCTCACACACACACACAATCACACACACTCCCAAGCACACTCAGACAACTCTCACACATCTCACATGCTCACACACACTCACACACACATATACTCTCACACGTACAGTCATGATACACTCATGCACACACACATTCACACACACTCATACAACTCTCTCATATATGTCACATGCTCTCACACACACAACTCTCACACACCTCTCACATGCTCACACACACTCACACACACATATACTCTCACACGTACAGTCATGATACACTCATGCACACACACATTCACACACACTCATACAACTCTCTCATATATGTCACATGCTCTCACACACACAACTCTCACACACCTCTCACATGCTCACACACACTCACACACTCACACACACGCTCACACACACACACATGCTCACACACACGCTCACACACACACAACTTTCACACACCTCTCACAATCTCACACACATCTCATACACTCACACACACACACTCACACTCACACACTCACACACACACTCACACTCATGCTCCTATGACAATGACTGCAGTGATCTGAGAAGACATCGATGGACACGCTGCCGTGTCACCTGCTTTCAATGAGCATCTGGCTGAGAAGCCGCCAGTCTATTTGCTTAGTTACGACTCAGTAGGGCAAGGCCCTACGTTCTCTAGGAGGACGTGCCGTTGATGGCCATCGTCTGACATTTTCACCCCGGAAATGATTCCCAGCGGGTCCGCGGCCGCGGCGGCTTATGGGGAGCGGGCTGAGACGCGAGGGGCACAGGAAGTGCGGTGGGGTCTTACGTTTGCAGCCCTCCCAGAGGCCTCGGTCCCAGGGACTTGAGCAAGGGCTCTGGCCGCATGGCCACGGTGGGCGACGTTTTGGGGCTGGAGTCAGACTCCCCGCTGTCCTCGTCGCCCATGGCCTTGATGTAGCTGCCGCTCCGCATCCTCCGGCAGGGGATCTCCTCGTCCTTGCCCCCGGGCGGGTACCCGGCCCACTCGTCCTGAGGCACCTGGGGAGAGAGACACGTCAGCCTCACACCGAGGCCCACGCCGGCTCCACGGGAGCGAGTGTCCCGGAGGCGCGGAGACACGGCGCTTCTATTTACTTTCATTATTTTCCCTGATTTCAGAGAGAAGAGAGGGAGGGAGAGGAACACCAGTGAGAATCACTGACCGGCTGCCTCCTGCACGCCCCCTGCGGGGGACTGAGCCCACAACCCGGGCCTGTGCCCTGACCGGGAATCGAACCCTGACCTCCTGGTTCATGGGCCGACGCTCAACCACTGAGCCTCACCGGCCAGGCTTACGGCTCTTTAGGGTCATTCATCGTTGAACGTTAGGCACACAGACCTATCGGTGCCCCTGGGGCTGGCCCTGAACTCTAAACGAACATGAACAGGAAGTGACTGCTTTTTCCCATCACAAAGCGCTAGCAGTGATGGCGAACCTATGACACGCGTGTCAGAGGTGACACGCGAACTCATTTTTTTGGTTGATTTTTCTTTGTTAAATGGCATTTAAATATATACAATAAATATCAAAAATATAAGTCTTTGTTTTACTAAGGTTGCAAAGATTAAAAAATTTCTATATGTGACACGACACCAGAGATAAGTTAGGGTTTTTCAAAATGCTGACACGCCGAGCTCAAAAGGTTCGCCATCACTGCACTAGAGGTACAACACGGGAAAAGTGAGGACATGTTAGGAAAGTGAATGAGGACACCCTCCGGGTAACGGTTAGACTGTGTCCTTGCGGACGGGCGCCGGGGCAACCCGAGAGCTGGAGGGGAAGTTACCCGTGTGGGGCAGGAGGACGCAGCAGACACAGAAGAGGAAGGAGGTGTCGCATGGCACCTAGTGGTCCCCACACGGGGTCCCACCTTCCTGCCCCAGAAGCCCCTGCGGCGGGCGGCGGGCGCTCAGCTGCCACTCGCCCACCCAATCAGGTGACAGTCATTGAAGGTGACCTTTGACGCTTGGCCCACTGCTGGAGAACAGGAAAACAAGAGCCTTTTCTGGGAACAAGTGGAACAAATTCATTTTCTCTGACTCGCCCATTGTCTGCTCGGACCTCGGACGCGTACGGCGTCTTCCTCTGATGCCAGCAACGCCTTCTGCACCAGGTGACACCAAAAAGCACCCTTTGTCTGCTGCGTGGCAGGGCCTGGGGAGCATTACGCTGACCGGAGCCAGCCAGTCAGACCAAGACAGGCATCGCACGATCGCACACACGCGTGGGATCTCACGAACAACATAATCCGATGAACAAAAACAGATCCAGAGCCCTGGCTGGTGTGGCTCAGCGGATAGCGCGCAGGCCTGTGGACTGAAGGGTCCCGGGTTCGATTCCCGGTCAGGGCACTTGCCCAGGTTGTGGGCTGGATCCCCAGTGTGGGGCGTGCAGGAGGCAGCCGATCCATGACTCTCTCTCATCATGGATGTTTCCACCTCTCTTCCTCTCCCTTCCTCTCTGAAATAAAAC